CGTCCTGGGGCAGAGTTGAAATGAAGGATCTGCAAACAGGCACAAGAGCAGAGGCCGTCAGGGTCAGAGATGCCAGGAGAAGGGGTAACAGGAGGTCTTGCAAATGAAAAGAAGATTTCTCTCCCAAGAATGGTGTGTAAATGCCACCCCAAGGTCACTAGCACCCTGAACGAATCCACACCACGCCAACAAACAAACATCAGTAGGCCGGAAGGGAGGAAAGTTTGTTCCCGTTTAACTTTTCATTCCAGGTTCTTGCTGCTCCACTTCCTGCTGTCTCTCCGGCCACCATGATGTTGGAATCTGTGTTCATTTATATACAAACCTTAGTGATCTTACTTCCCAACCTCTCCTGTTTGACTGTTGGTTGGTGCAGGTGCAGCTGTTAATGTTACATGGCACATCCCTCCAGACTCAATTGCAAGCAACTGACCGCACCTCAACTTTTCAACATTGTCAATGAAATGCTAGCATGGGTCTCCCTACCTTAACAACAATGGTCTGGTGACAAGGGGAATGAATAGGCCTCTTTATGAAATGACCCAGGGGCTATAATACTAAAATTGGAGCTAATATAAATAAGTCCATGAATTTGTATATTCATGTTAGATTTGCAGTTGAGTTTTACTTACCAGATTTTCCTTATTTCTTTCATCCATTTAATTTATTTTTTACATTAGGGAATCTTAAAGCTCAACGGCACTTTCTATTATCACTACCTTTTTTTCAAATTTCATCTTACATGAAATAATATTAAACTACATGTAAGTTGGGTAGGATCCAAAATAGTAACACCATTTGGATGCTTTGAAGGCTTTCCTCCCTCCCTCCCACCTCATAATTAGGGCTTTCTCCATATGAGGACGTTCTCCTGCTGGTCAAGGGAGTCCTAATACAAAACTTAGAAGTATTTGACTCCATGCCTTATGTTACCCTAGAGTTCATTGAATGCAAACATTTGGGTTTTTAATAATAGTTATATCGTACCCTACACATTGCCTCATACAATGGAAGTATTAAATACATTTGGTTCAGTAGGTTGTTGGTATTAAAGACCACTCTGCTCTCCCATCTTTAGAGGAGACAACAAAATGGTTCTAAAGCATTTTGTATTTTTAATTAATCAATGATGTATTTTTATTAGTTGCTGATCTTTTCAAAGGTTTTCTATTTATCAGATATTGACTTGGAAATAACTGAATCTTTGTAAATGTACTTTGGGCTGCCTTTCAGCTTTCTGGGGTTCTCAACTGGGGATGATTGTGCCCACTCTCCTTGGGATAGCTTTGACTGTCATAACAGGAGAAGTAGGCAAGGAAGTGCGCTATTGGGATCCAATGGGAAGAGACCATACTGCTAAACAGACCTCAA